GCACGTGGGGGGACCGAGAGTTCTAGGCCCCTTTGAGCTACCCAATGAGAGCCTGTCTCAAAGATTAGGATCACAGGGAGGGAAGGGAGGAGGGAGGGAGGAAGGGAGGAAGGGAATTCTGAGAAGTAAAGCAGTGGAGAAACGAACGGAACCGATTACACCAGCCCTGTGCCCAGTTCACTATGAGAAGAACTATTCATTCTGTTTGCTAGAATGTCAGTGTATTTTACGTCCAAAGAATTCCCATGTTTTTGAGTAAAATGCTATTCACTAAAGCTAAGGTGAAGGACTTATGGCAAGTACATACATTTCCATTGCAAAACTTGTTATTTATTCCATGAGTACACCTAGCAATTTTATTTAAACAATGGTTTCAAAAAGAACCTTTTTTGCTTTGCTTGTTTTCTTTTGCCATTGAAATGGCAACTTACTATGTAGCCCAGGCTGGCCTTGAACTCCAGAGTACTGGGATTATAAGTATGTAAGCGGGAAGCTCTATTAACCATTCATTAATGATTGGATGATTCTATTTCAAGTGGTTTCAAGCCAACAATGCTGTCTGTAAAGTGAGTTAACCCTCCTTAGGTGTTTCACGCTGCATAGACAAATGTAGTAACTGAATTGCCTTCTGAAGCATTTCAAAGGCCTTAAATCAGTGGTTCTCAACCTTCCTAATTCTGGGGCCCTTTAATACAGTTCCTAATGTTGTGGTGACCCCCAACCATAAAATTATTTTATTGCTACTTCACAACTGTAATTCTGCTACTGTTATGAATTGTAATGTAAACACTACATTACAGGATATCTGCCCATGGATTGAGAACTGCTGCCTTAATGAACTCCCGGAATGACTTCACTACAGAAAGCCCTCCCATGACACTGTAAAAGCTTTGGAACTAAATCAGTTTCTTTAAGGAGCCCATGAGCTTTTGTCATTGAATTATTCTTTTTTTTTTCTTCAGAGATGTATAAGTATGGGAAGATATATTTAAATATATGGAAGACAGAGACAGAAGTATAACGGGCCTAATATCCCTTACCACTGCAGGAGTTATAAACCATAGTCCTGTTTCATCTGTACCTCCACCGCTTGTCTTTCTCGTGCCAATCTGAGAACAAAAACAAATATCATCTTATTTCATCTCTAAACACTTCAGTCGACATCCTCCCCAAATTAGACCTTGTGTGTTAGTATAAAATATGAACTCAGTCATCAACATGACATAGGCCTCTAATCCCAAGAATATTTGGTGGCAGGGAGGTTGCTAGGTCAAGACCACTGGAGCTGCTAAATAGTAAAACTCTGTCAAAAAAAAAAAAAAGACTCCAATCACATTGCACATGTGTGCTTTAAGTTTGACTAAGAGCTCACAGCTTTCTTTGATAATTCATGTTCATAATTCTCTTTAACATGGAGGTTTGCCCACCACCTCAGTTTTTCTTTATTCTTTGCAATTTATTTGTTGAGGTTATCAAGTTGTTTTCGGATAGTATGGTTAGCCCTGTCTGGGTTTTCTGACTGTGTCTCTGTAGTGCATTTATGTATTTTCTCCCTGATGTCTCCTGAAGATTGCTAGTTGGATGCAAGGTGACTTGATTGCATTTGGTTTTTCTTTCTTTGTGTTTTGCTTTGGGTTTGGGGTAAAACTTTTTTCTTGATTATAGTGTATTCTTTTTTTTTTTAAAGATTTATCTATATTTATTTTATGTGTATGAGTATTTTGCCTGCACATATGTATGCACACCACATGCATGCCTGGAGTCTACTGAGGCCAGAAGAGGGTATCTGATCCCCTAGAACTGGAGTTACAACTTGTTACAAGCCACCTTGAGGGTATGAAAAACAAAGGCGGTTCCTCTGCAAGAGCAGCAGTGCTCTTAGCCACTGAGCCACCTCTGTAGCTGAGTAATGCATTCTCTTAACAGACAGATGCTTATAATAAACATTTGACTCTCCATGGAAGAATAGAAATATGACTCTTCGGGAAACAGGACCAAAAGCAAGGCATATAAACACACACAAGCCTATTTTTCTTATACCAAATTCACACCCTGTCTTTACACCACCAAAAGGAATGATTGAAAACCAAGATTAAAAAATTTAAAATAAAAGAAAAAATTCATAAGACAGAAACACATCCAATGAATCCTTTTTAGGGACAAAGTATGTGTGTGTGTGTGTGTGTGTGTGTGTGTGTGTGAGAGAGAGAGAGAGAGAGAGAGAGAGAGAGAGAGAGAGAGAGAGATTAAGAGTGGCATGTTTGACTTTTTGAGTTACTGTTATATTATGTTATGTTAACATATAATGTTAAAAATCATATTAGCAAAAATTGGAGGTGGAATTTTCAGAATTGGGATGAGGAAAAGCATTTTCAATCACTAGAAGAGAAGAAGGAATCTCTACTAAAGATGGTGTTCTTACAGCACACATAAGAAAAGGGAAAGACAGAGGAAGAAGGGAATCATAGGATGCACAAACTAGAGAAAGCTGACAGATGATGATTAGTTTATGTGGAGCTGAAGAACAGTGCGAAACAAAGGATTTCTTAAAGCTTCAATGGGATGTATGGATGATGTTCCTTGATGTTGGAAAACTCCTCAGGAGAGCAAGCTTAGGCTGCAGGGAAGGTGGAGACCTTGTTTTCTGAGATGATATAAAACTGGCTGGAGGACTTCTGAGTTAGATTAGGGGAGGGGAGAGTTCCAGATTCCTATATCTCTGAAGGTGTGAGACAACTCAGCTACACTCATGCCTCTGACACTCAGAGCAGAGACTTGGCTTAGATAGAGATTTCAACATGGATATAACCAATGTTGAGATATTACATGGTGTCTTGAGAGCTTATGGAACCAGTCAAAAACAAATGTAAAGAGAAAATGAAGAAAGCCACACTGAGAACATAAAGACAAAAAACATCATCGCTTACCGGGGAAGCTAAAAGAGCATAAACGCACAAAGGAAACTGTAGGATAGTGGCCAGAGGAACAAGAAGTGGGCCAGGAAGTATTTCTTATGAAAACAAAAGAGGTTCAAGAATGGCAAAATGGACATTAAGGTCAAGAGCTATATAGCAACTCTAGAGGACCTGATCACTAGGGATTTTTTAGAGATGGTGTCAAAAAACATGGCAATACAAGACAGAGACAGTAGTCAATGAAGAAATGAGGGAAGAACAAGAAGTAGAGCCAGTAAATATAGGCTTTTTTTTTTTAACTTGGCTGTGGGAGAGAGGATTGTCTTGTGGTAATGTAGAAGATTTGGACAGGCAATTATTGTGGAACAAAACTTTTCCTGAGGAGACACTACACACAAACCTCTCCCTAGCTAGGGAGCCCAAGACCACCAAAATCCAACTTGGTGAACCAATGAGTTTTATTGGGTTACTTACAGGAATATGCATGAGGGGTTACTTAGAGGAGCAGAAACAATTCAAAGAACATACCCTACCCCAGCCTGAGTGACAGCTCACAAAAGCGGGAAACCTGGAGCACACTGCACATCCTGCCGGTAGCTCCACAGATTGGAGAGTGTCCCAAGTGACTGGGCTGTTCTAAACTTCTCCCGGGTCACTAGGCTCGTGTCTGCTTCTTCCAGGAAACTGATCTGATCTCAGAGTGTTCTTGACAGCTCAGCTTGTTCGAGTCTTCTTTGCAACTTTGCTTGTTTACTCTGAGAGGGAGGCAGCTAGTGAAACTAATCAGTGCCAGGGACTTCCTGAATCTATTTTGTTGACTTTTCTTCCTACTGGATAGAATGTTTCAGAATGTGTCACTTGCTGTAAAACTGATACACAGCAGCAAGGAAAAGCATTAGTCTTGTTAGGCAATAGCGACTTGAGCTGAAGGAGAAAACCAAGAATGAGATCTTTAGGGATGAGGATGAAGAAAGGAGAAAAGTACAAATAGCATGACAACACCTGGGAAAGGGAGACAGTGGGAGGTGCAAAACTTCTAAGAAGGTGGAGTAACAGAATATAGGTAGAGCAAATGGTGTGCTGAAGGTAAGCACAGCTAGGCTACAGGTAAGTGTGTGTTCTGAGGGGATATATCTTAATAGAAATCATTTTCAGTTACTTCTGTTTTATCAGTAGAACAAAGATACAAGGTTATTTGATTTCCCAGGCGAGAAGAGGAGGTCATTTTTGAGTAGAGTGGTCAAGGTTTTGAATGGGTATCAATGAGGATGACACAAGAGAAGTTGACTAGAAGGAAGAGTAATGAGATCATTAGGGGTAGAGTTGAGATTGGAAACCAGTTATTTGTAATGCCCAGGGTCAGAAAGGTTGACTAGTTTTTCTGCACCTTTACTAACTGGCCTCAGAACAGGAATGGGAAGCATAGCTGTCTACATAACCCACTAAGAATTTGTGAATCCCACGTATCGATGCTGCTGTTAAGGAGGGTTGGGTTAAGCACTTGAGGGGAAGGAGGCACGTGGCATTCATGCACTTCATGGAGGTAAAGCTGGGTGGGGTCTATTGCAAGAGGTGAATTGAGTCAGGGGTGGGAGTAAATCCTCCCTGTGTATGTGCCAGAGAGCCAATCAAATGCTGGAAGAATCCCAGAGTAACTGATTGACTGCAGATCGGCATGCTAGTCCCCTGAAGCAGTGGATCGATTGAACGTGTCCACTGTGAATGGATGGTGCTGAACTTGGGCTTCTCAGTATCTTTTTTTTTTTCAATACACAGTAGCAACATAAACACAAGACTAAAGCCTATTCCAGTGATGTGTGGATTTTAAGTCAGAGCAAATACTAATGACAAAGCAATAGTTTAATCATTTTCCTTTTTCTATTTTTTATTTCAGAGATTGTACTATAATTACATCATTTACCCCTCCCTCCAAATCTTTCTATACAAACTTCCTTGCTCTCTTTCAACTCACGGCCTCTTTTACCATTAATCACTGTTACATGCATATGTTTATGTACATTTTCATTTTAAAGTGAGCAAGAGCGTCTACTTTATTCTCACATTTTTTTTCTTTCCTGTTTCCAGAAATCATACAAATGAAGAAAATCAAGATGGTGTCATGCACTCTGATGGTAAGGAGTAACTTTTTCTCTAAAGATATCTGAGCTACATGTTTGAATTAGTCAAATGTCATGGCATCATTAATGGCATTACCATCACTGGTCTATATAGTGATGTTATATAGTGTGTTAGTTATTTCCAAGAATTCTCACAATTCATTACCTTCTTTCTCTGACCATAAGCAAACATCCTAAAATACTTAATGTGTTTTTGCACATATTCTTCTCATGTGATTGTATGTATGTATATGTGTAATTTATTTTAAAAGTATGTTACAGGGTTTTCTTTTTGAGGACACTAAGTGTAAGGTTTTCCCCAGCTTCCACCCTCATTACTGGATACACATGTAGTCTGTTATCACTAAGTACTGAAGGGGAACCCAGCACAGAGGGGGCTTCCTTCTAGACCCTGGATTAGGCACAAACCACAGGCAAACACCTGTTTTCATAGAGAGATCTTTATTAAGCAGGGAAGAAAAGTTTGAGTGTCTGCTTTCTGACTCAAATGACCTTGCAGTGTGATTTTTAAGAGGAGAAAAAGGGAAGGTCTAGGTTAGAATGGGCTAGGGTGTGGTGATAAAGGTATTGGTCCTAGAGGGACAAAGGACTGCCTCTGGATAGACAGGAAACAGACGTGGCACACAGGCAAATGGTGGTTTATAAAGGTAAAGGGGAAAACCGTGTGTTAGAATGAAGTGTTTAATTTTAATTGGGCATGTTAATTAGGTGAACCAAAGGGGGTTTCTGATAGCTGGACTTTGGTAGTCAGCCTCAGGAGGAGGAAGTGGCCAAAGAAGGAAACACACTTTGGAGGCTAGCTTTAGGAATGTTGTCTAACAGTTTTTAGCAAGGGGGGGTGGGGGACGGGGAGAAGGGCAGGACTTGCCAGAGCCCTGCTGGCTACTCTCAAACTGGCCAGAGTTCCTTCCAGAACTACACAGTACACTGTGGAATGCACCCACATTTTATTTACTGGGATTATAAGAAATACTACAGGGCTCTTCTGTATGTTCATCCCATGTGGACTTCAGAGAGGCTTTTTCTAAGAGAAATAACAGGGGAATGGCTGGTTATGAGCTACAAGGTATTTACTTTGCTGAGTAGGACTAGAATGTTCTTCAGAATTGATGCCCTGTCTACAGTCTCAACAACAGGGCATGAATGTGGCAACATGCCCACCTTTTACTGGCAGATAGCATCATTGAGCTTTCTAATCTTTTCCTAATCTCAGGGTATGACGTTAGAGTTCATTTGAATTTTTATGCTTTTTATTTTTATTAAACTTTGCTGTGATGTTGCCATACACTTATATAGTGCATTCTGATCACACTCACCCTCCCATCCTTTCTTATCCCACGCCCACCCTCATCAACACCACTTCCCCAGCATGAGCCCCGCTTCCATTTCATGTTTTTTTGTTTTGCTTGTAACCCACTGAATTTAACAAGTGCCATCTATGTGAATACAAGTGTGGACTTGTCTACTGGAGTGTAGTGAACTCACCACTAGCTTCACAGGCCTCCCCTCCCCTGGCTGATTCATATTGGTTTTCATTTCATGATTCCCTCTTCCACTCTGGAGTTTGAGAGCTGACTTTGCTTATGAGATATTGTGACCTTCTCTCCTGTCAGCTGTCTTCTCTCCATTGACCATTCTGTTCCCAAGGGGCTGTTGTCTTCTCCTGGCTGGCTTGCAGGTGTTCCTTTACATCCCAGATATTCATCCACGTCAACCTCGAACTTCTTCCATTCTCTCTATCATCTATCGATTTACTCCATGCTGCCCTTCCTCCAGCACAAATATAATTTTTATATTATCTAATTCATTTTTGCCTTAGAAATTATTCTTTATTTAACTTTTTAAAGAAGTCTTAGATCCTAGGAAATAAAACAGCTCCTTATTTTTTCCCTACGAACTTCATCCCGTGTGTTTAGGTCTTTGAGAACTTAGCAGGAAACTAGAATTGCTGCCTCATATATCTCCCTACCAAACTCAAAATAATCCATCCTCTTCCCATTATTTTAAAATGAACCCCTATAGTATATCAGCTATTCGTGAACGTGGGTCCATGTGTGCATATATTATATGGCCATGTGTAAATTTTTCTTAGTCCCTGTCTTAGTTAGAGTTGCAATTGCTGTGATGAAACACCATGGCCTTTTGAAAAAGCTTGGGGAGGAAAGGGTTTATTCAGTTTACGCTTCCACAACACAGTTCATCATCAAAGGAAGTCAAGACAGGAACTCAAGCAGGGCAGAAACCTGGAGGCAGGAGCTGATGCAGAGGCCATGGGGAGCTGCTGTTTACTGGCTTGCTCATCACAGCTTGCTCAGCCTGCTTTCTTATAGAACCGGTGACTGTCAGTCCCATGATGGCACTATCCACAGTGAGTTGGGTCCTCTCCCATCAATTAACAATTAAGAAAATGTCCTACAGGCTTGCCTACAGCCTGACCTTATGGGGGCATTTTCCTACATGAGGTTCCCTCCTCTCAAATGACTCTAGCTTGTATCAAATTGACAATTAAACTGTCCAGCACAGCCCCTGAGCTCTCTTTTCAATTCTCTTGTCCTATCTATATGTTTTATTATGATTGTGCTTTATATCATTTTCTTATTAGTTATAATGTTAGATTATGTTTTGATATCTGGTAGAGTGTATATTACACTAAACTCGAGTGGTATTTTTTTAATTTAATCACCTTGACTTGTTTAATACATGAAAGCAAATCCTTGAGAAAGAATGAGTCAAAAATGTGGACTATTTGTGATTTTTTTCCCTGTTGTACATTTCACACAAGTGCACATGTCAAATGTACTATGTCTTACATAAAGCAATAAAAAATAGCATAATTTGCTTTGACTTTTGCGTTATCTTATGAAAATTAATAAAATAGTTTTATAATTAAATTACAAGTGTTAAAAATACCAGGTGTCTAAGCCACGTGTTTTGTGATTTAGAGGATAAGTTCTGTTATACTTTGAACTGATATGAGTATTATTTTATACAATGATCATATGTTGAAGTACTTCTTAATTACAGTGTATTTTTTTTAATCCTGTAGGTCCTGGAAATCTAGAAGAGGTCAGATATTTTTATTTCTCTTTTTCTATTGCAAAAATTGGAATATTTAACAATTATTATGACTCACTTTCTATTGTTATAAACAGACAAATAAAAAGTTTTATAAGTATATGATATTTTTTTCCATTTCTAATCTTACTTAATTGAAATGCTTGAAACATTATATGCCAGTCAGTATGCTGACTCATGCTAGTGTAATGATGAACTTAGGTCTGGCTGCACAGCTAATGACTGAGTAAGACAGATAATGACATCTCCTTTTCTTTTTCTTATGTATCTCACAGTTTGAAAAAGGGAGAGCAAGAGAGAAAGAAGAGAAAGAATGAAAGATAGATAGATAGGAAGAAGGAAAGAAAGAGAGAGAGAAAGAAATAAAGGAAGGAAAAAAGAAAGAAAGAAAGAAAGAAAGAAAGAAAGAAAGAAAGAAAGAAAGAAAGAAAGAAAGAAAGAAAGAGAGAGAAATTTTCAAATAAGCCAATTTAGGCTCAAACTCACAAAAATTATTTTAAAAAATAAGTTGTCAATGAAACACATTGAAATATATGTATGATCTATGATCTTTTGGAATAATCATAGTTAATAATTATCTGTTTTTCTTGATAGGAACAAGAGAGTGAAGGAGAAACATACGAAGACATGTATGCATTGCATTTGTTACCATAAGAATTTTCTTGTAAGATGAATACAATGTTTTATAAGAGGGAGCATGGGTGTGCAAAAACACAAGGAAGAAAAGACTTTATTTACACAATGGTTGGCCTGTAATGACATCCCTTATTTCACTACAAAGGACTAAAACTAGCTTACTTCACCAAAGACTCTACATACGACCCTGGTGACAAACTGCCATGTGAGATCTGCAAGCTACTTGAAAGACAGTCAGGGATTAGATTCAAGAATCTGTATTTCTCCCTCTCAGTATCCTGAGGAAATGAATTCACTGTGTCTTGTACCCTTATTCACTCAAGACACAGCGGTGCCGTGGGCTTTGGCTAGCACCCAGATGCCCACATTCTAGTTGCTGGATAGATATGAAAAGTGACTCCAAGACTCGACAATAGAGTTCAAAATAGATGGAGAAATTTCTTGGAAACTGTGAGGAAGTAGGAGTACTCTTAATCAAATGCTGAGCTTGGGTGTCTTAATTTTCTCTACCCAATTATTCCACCAGTTCTAACTAATCTCTACATCAAAATTAATACGAGTGCCTCTGAGCATGTGCTCATGCATGCCCACGCAAGTGAGGGGGAGAGATGCCAAGAGGCCATGAGGATGGGGGAGGGGCTTCCTGAACAGTGCCTTCTTCTCTGTGGTGGAGACATCACCAGGGGAAGGGGATGGGGCTTCCATAGAAGGTATTTGTAGCTGTGGGCCTCCTTCTGGCTGTACAAAGTCTCGCACATTCAGAATGTTCACATCTTTAGCTTCTTGCCTCCATCTCCTCACCAGAGACCTTCTTCTGTAGTGGGTAGATACTGCTCTGTGTAGTGGTTCCTGACCTACAGACACCTGCACATTGTAGCCACAACTTAACAATTTCTATTCACAGAGAATCGTCCAAAGAACGAGACAAGAAACGGGAAAAGGAGGAAAAGAAGAGGTTAGAGCTAGAACGAAAGGAACAGAAAGAAAAAGAAAAGAAAGAACAAGAACTAAGGAAGAAATTTAAGGTAGGAGCCTGCTTGCTGAAAAAGAGAGCAGTAGCATCATTTTGAACCTTTTTTAAAAACATTACAAGAAAATGTGTGAAGTTGAAGAGGTTTTTTTTTTAGCATTGTTTTGAAACAATACTTTTTTGTTCAATACACCACCTTATTATTTACCATAAAAAATGAAATAGGATAAAAAATCCAAATAAAATTTAATTAGCTTATAATTGGTGGGTATCCAGGGATTTTATGTTGATTGAGGAAATTATTGCATCACTATTGTGTGCCTTGCATCTGGAAACATACACATAGATGTCCCAGTGGCATGTCACACAGTGACGCCATGAACACAGTGTTCCTGAATGAACCACAACTCCTTTGAGCTACTAGAGATGCTGGTGTCTGCATCTGAACTATACATTTGCCTTTAAGACCTATGCTTACTGGTTTCTAAGACCTACTGTCTCTCATCCCTCTTGAAATACCTCAATTTCCAACCTTTATCTCCTCTGATTTCTGGAATTTTTTTGGGGGGAGGGGGTTTTTTTCGAGACAGGGTTTCTCTTTGTAGCTTTGCGCCTTTCCTGGAACTCGCTTTGGAGACCAGGCTGGCCTCGAACTCACAGAGATCCGCCAGCCTCTGCCTCCCGAGTGCTGGGATTAAAGGCGTGCGCCACCACCGCCCGGTGATTTCTGGTAATTTAATCACCTCTATTGCTACCACCACTGTGTTACATGTACAGGTTGAACTTCTCAGCTATCCCATATTTGATGACATAACCCATCTGGTATCTCTGGTGCCTCAGAAGTATTTGGAGTGATGATCCGAGTTACAAAACCATTCTTCACTTTTAAAGGAATACATACTGTTTTATTTAAATATTTATTTCTCTAGAGAATTCAATACACGGAATTACAAAATATGACTCATGTATAACTTCCCAGTACATTTGTTATGTTAAAACAGAAGTTCAACAGGGTGATGCGAGGAAAACATTCATCCAACTTGGAGTCATTTGGATAGATGTGGATTCCAATCCCAGCTGAGCATACAAGTTCTGTGCTCTTGGACTTACTGCCTATCTCCTCTGAGATTCAGATCCCTAGTCTTTGGAGAGAAAACAAGTGGCTCTTTTCTATGGTTTGCTATGGGACTGAATGAAATATTATATAAAAGTCACTGTATCTACTATGAGTTTTCACAAATTTTAGGGGAAAAAAGCTTTTCATGTACAAGTAAAGTTATGATTGCAATGTGAAAACTAAAACATTTTATTCACGCAGAATGCATGACTACCAAGATGTAAATTCTTCAAGTAAAAATTAATTTAATGCTTGAAAATATATATGGTGCACTTTTCACCAGAGATTGTTCATGGTTTTCAAGGATTTGAGATTAGTTTGGAAAAATAACTAATATGTTTTTTCCACACATTCATTCAAATAATATTGTTAATAACTAAAACAGAATGTAGAAATCATATCAATAGATAGAAATGCAAGAGTTTCTCAAGTCTGGGACCTTACAAGCTACACTCCACCCAGACCTTAATAGACACTGGGGCTTATAAAATGTGAGGCTCCGTCAGAATCATAGCATCTCATAATTCAACTTGGATTTTCCTTTTTCTCTTTGCTGACATACAATGTTTATTAAATACCAAATTTAACAAATTCCACATTATTAAGAAATTCTGCTCCAAAACTGACATGATGATATGCATTTCACTGATGTAGCAAGAAACTGCCAGCAAGTAACCAGTTCACCTTCTGAACACTGCATGGATTCAAGTCCAGTGCAGCTGCCGAAGATTTGTAATTCAAATATTCAGATTACAGGTTGTTCGCAGAGGCCAACTATAATAAATCCAGCTCAGCCCCAAAACTTTCTACTTGAGTCTGCTTTTACAAATAAATCCCAGAAGTGATGTGGCAGTTGGCTATCAACCTAAGCTTTAAAAAATATTTTTGATGGTACACAATTAATATATCACACAATTCAAGACAACATAGACTCAATAAAGCAGTTTCTTCCCCCCAAAAAATCACAGTCCATATTTATTTATCAAAAGATGAAAGACACCCTATTGAAGACCTCGGTTTAGAAATAGAAATTTCAGATCTAAGGACTCATGACTTAAGATAAATTATCCTCCTATTAATAAGTCATCATGCTATCCAGAATATTAGCTATGAAAACTTAGCTGGTATTTGTTTATTATTTTTGAAGCTATTTCTAAAATGCTATCTTATTTGTAGCAGGTAGTATTTACTACAGGTTTATATTCAACAAGTGGAAGGAAGGAAGGAAGGAAGGAAGGAAGGGAGGGAGGGAGGGAGGGAGGGAGGGAGGAATGGCATGCATAAGTACATACATGGTGCCCTTCCATTATACATTTTGTCAGGGTGCTTGTACTCATCAGATCCCTGCCACTCTCTCATGAACCACAAGTACATGCTCTCCTGTTCTTTGTTGGCCTTGCTGCACCTCTGTGGTTTTCCCTTGACTCTTTCAATAAGAGCATTCACCCAGGATGATGGCTGAGGGATTATCGTCTTTCGAAATTACATTCCTCAGTGGTTTTCTCTTACACTCTTCCCTCCTCCTATAGCTAACAGGCCCCATTCAGGTCATCCATCGTGCGAAAGCTTGCTGTGATGTCAAAGGAGGAAAGAACGAACTGAGCTTCAAGCAAGGGGACGACATTGAAATAGTCCGCATCACAGACAACCCAGAAGGAAAATGGCTGGGCAGAACTGCAAGGGGGTCCTGTGAGTGCACCTTTTCCAGTGCCTTCAAGACTTCAAGGGCTTCTCTCTCTCTCTCTCATGCTGGGATTTGACCTGGCAGAGTCTTGACATGTCTTGTGAATAATGTCACAACTACTGTGAGTTTGTGTGTGCAGTTGCCCTGCTGTGTTCAGAGGACGGTTTCCTTGTAATCACACCACCACCTTTTGCTCTCACACTCTTTCTGTCCCTCCTCTGGAATATCCCTGAGCCTATGGTGGAAGGGATGTCACACATGTCTTCCATTTAAGACTGGGCATTCTGTAGTCTCTTCTCTGCATTTTTGCCAGTTGTAGGTCTGTGTGTTCATTAGCATCTGCAAGCAGAAGCTTCTGATGAGAGTTGCAAGAAGCCTTAATTTATGGGTGTAATTATAAGTCATTAGGGGTTAGTTTAATACTACATCCATTTATCAGAATAATAGTAGTACATTTTCTCCTAAAGTCTATGACCTGCCTAGTCATACGTTCCTTTTGAATTCACATTAGATCCTTCCAGACCTACATGCCTCATGTTAGGAATACACTACTAAGTAAATAGAGAGAGAAAAAAAAAACCTAAAATGGCAAATGTAGTTCTTTTTAGTGAAGAACAATGCAATGTAAAATTTTACAAAGGTCATTATGTTCTCCATTTCTGTTAGAAGAAATGTGTCATGTGAATCACTTTAGAATCTTCAAATTGATTCTTGACTCACTTAAAAGTACCACAGAGTTAAGTCTCTGTAGAGTACATAAAACCTCAGGCTACAAAGAAGGTCTGTAAGTCAAAATTACAAGCAAAGACAGCTTTTTAATGTTTAATAAAGTGCCTTCAGGTTTTTGTTTGTTTGTTTGTTTTGAGTGTGTGTGTGTGTGTGTATGTGTGTGTGTGTGTGTGTGTGTGTGTGTGTGTGTGTGTGTGTGTGTACATGCATGCATGCATAGCCTGGGTACCAAACCCAGAGTTTTGGACATGCTAGGCTCCATTTCCAGCCCTAAAGAGAAATATCCAAGAGCAAATGAACAATTGCTTAATTTAAATTATAACTTAACTTTAAATTGTAACTTTGAAGTGTTTAAGCTCCAGTTACCTGGACTTCTCTTCCCTTTTGGTAGATGGTTACATTAAAACAACTGCTGTCGAGATTGACTATGATTCTCTGAAACGGAAGAAGAATACTCTCAGTGCTGTTCCATTGAGACTTGTTGAAGATGACCAAGAAGTTTATGACGATGTGGCTGAGCAGGATGCCCCTAACAGGTGGGTGACACACAGACTGTAAGCAGATCACCGTCCCCCTGCCAGAGATTGTGTATTTCAAGAGTCCACAATTTTACCTTTCATGTCACTAATGGTCTCAATCACTAAACTAAATCACCCATGTATGACAACCCTAGTTTGAGGGGAAGGCCATGTGTAACTCCATTGTCTTTAATTTACTCGTTGGCCACACACATCGTGTTACTTGAACTGTAATGGGCTGTATAATTGTGTTAAACTTGTTATCTACTACAAAACACTTTTATAATATTTATTATGATTTGATCTTAGGGACATGCCTAAACTAGTATGATTTGGGAAACTGTGAAGTAGAAGATGTAAAGTATAGCCCCCTCCTTTTTCTACCCTTAATTCTGTGAGTCTACATGCCTCTCCTGTCATTGCTTGAAAATATAACAAAAAAAGAATGGCTTCCACTCCATCTCCAGTATACTCCTTAAAAGTCAAATTTCAATCCCTTATTATCCTTAGATATTGACTAAAGATCCACTTTCCAGTGCCTATTTACTCCACTACATTAAAGTGGCATTTTCTCCTAGAAAAATAAGCACACTTCTGTGGAGCAGAGAAAACAAAACAAAACATCTTGTTTGGAGGAGAAAACAAAGATCATCTTCTCCCACATGCCTAATTATTAGTTTCTCATGGCTAAACTGAAATACTTGAGGTCTTTGACTTAGAAGGAGACGTCTTTGTAACTTATGTTCTGTAAGTTCTAGCCTGAGATTAAGCCAAGTGCATATACTTCATACAAATATAAATAAATTCACGCAATAGATGAAATGAGCAAATGGTAGCTCTGCTCCCAGCACATGACATTCCTGAGGCATTAGATATGAGCATCTCCAAGAGGAAACATATTCACCAGGAATCTCAGCCATCCAGAATGCAATTAATTCTAAGTATTGCTTCATGCACAGAAGTGGCAGAGAAAATAGAAAATGAAGGAACAGAAATAGAAAATAGAAATGAGGATGAGGGTGTGTCAACTTCTTCGCAAATCAAGTTCTAGAGCATGATGTACCGTGCATGCCTTTCTGCAAAGTTCCATTGACAACAGTGTGCTTTTATTTCTAAGTTCACCAAAGAAAGGCATCAGACTAATTCCTCCCACTGGCTTGTAAAAGGAATGTTAAAACTGGGTACCAGTATTATATAGTTGTCCTCTATGTTAATAACATCAAACTTACTCCTGTTGCTGGCACATTACCCAAAGGCCAAAATGAGGTTGGGGTGTAGCTACGTTCAAAAGGGGCTAAACGCTTGGAGTTCTGGATTCTTTCCTGCAAGATGGCAGAATTAAACAAATAGACAATGTCTAAGTTTTTCCAGTGCCCATGCTTGGCTCTCACAGGACATAAACAGGGAGATACAGGGAGGAACACACAACCATAAAAGCTAAAACAGAAAAAGTTCTTACTGTTGGGGAAATAAGTAAACAAACAAACAAACAAAAAGGCAACCTGGGTTTAGAGAGGTGGGGGTCACACCTTATAAAAGTCTCATCAAGGTGGCAACTTAGGGCTGGAGAGATGGCTCACTGGTTAAGAGCACTGACTGCTCTTCCAAAGGTCCTGAGTTCAATTCCCAGCAACCATACGGTGGCTCACAACCATCTGTAATGAGATCTGGTCCCCTCTTCTGGCCTGCAGACATACATGCAGGTAGAACACTGTATACATAATAAATAAATCTTTAAAAAAAGAGTGGCAACTTAAAAGTTTTTTCTTAAAACAAAGTGTAATGATATCAGATTAAAAGTTAGAGACTGTAGGTCTAAGATGCTGCAAAGAGTTGAATTGAATGCAGTCATAATTGTCCTAATTGGCTCCTAAAATAACAGAGTACGTTTTAAAGTAATTTTAAATATAATGTATAATTACTGAAAATTGCCTCATGGGAAGTTTATTAAAAGCAAGCAGCATAATTGTTGTGAGCTAGGGTACTGTAACCCATTGGTTCTTGCTGGTTGTGCATTGGCTATGTTATGTTGCCTTGTCGCGATGTATCTACTACAATGAACATTCTTCTTGCTCTTCGTATATTTCATCCTAGTTTTAAATAGAATGCTAACTTTTATAGTCCTCTCAGTATTTTAATTCATCTTCTTGAAAACGAAATAACTCATACATTCATTGTTTCTGCTTTGTTCTTAGCCATGGTCAGAGCGGAAGTGGAGGTGAGACAACAGCTTTGTATGCTTGCAGTCTTGAAAATAATTGAGTATGTTAATGGCAAAAGGCTAGTTGGCTAACAGTAAGAGGGATTTTTTTTTTATATTTCTACACGTTAAAGATTTTAAATACAATTTTATTGGTTTATAGCCATTGTACTTGGTAGTGATTTCTATAAGAACATTTTTATAACAAGTATATAATGAACTTTATCATATTCCCCCCAACCTTCACCTCTTCACCTCTTCTTCTTCCCACCCCTTAGTCACTTTTGTTCCCCTAGACAGTTTCCCTTCTGCTTTCCTGTCATACATTCACATATGATCTTACGTATCTGTATAAAACCTAGGAACCGGAAATGAAAGAATTAGTGGGATTTGAACGTGGAAAAGGGATTGGCTGGGAATCTATGACCCAGAGTCTTGCCCTGGTCACCAGGTGACTGTGAGGCAGTCACTTCTGTCTTCAAGGTTGCCATGGACGCTAGCGTGACTCCACTCCCAGTGTGCCTGGCATAGTCTTGGTTTCTGCAGACTGTCTGAGCACAGTTAGGAATAAACCCCCTCCTTTACTTCCAGAATTATCCTGTCTAGATGGCAAACTATATGGCTACCTTGATGATGCCTCCTAAAGACCCAGGCAGCAAAACCAAGAGCTCAAATTCTCACCCTGAAAGTTATATTTCAAGGTCATTTTCCTGCACATAGAAGCTAGTCTACAAATGCTTGTTAAGTAAATATTTGTCATATAGCAAAGTCCCTAAGAGCAAAGCATAACAAATGAAACAAGAAAGGGTTTTAGTCTAATATATATGTATTAAAATGTGACCTTTCCTTTTGCAGTTTCTTTCAATCACTATAGTGTTTAGGGTCGCCTCTCACACGCCATTTCATTTTCTTTATCAGTCTCTTAACTTGTCTTTAATGTCTACTCACCGTTACCTGAATTCTTCTTATTACCTCCTCACTGCTCTTTTTTCATGATGAATATTGAATTCTACTTCTTGTTCTGTTTTACTTGTTTTCATTGTAATTCTCACACATTCATTTTACATAAAGTCCAGAGTGCCCACCATCACTCATTTCTTTATTATGGCTTTGGTCCTAAAATGTTTGAAAATAATTAATAAAGCAACTGAATTCTTAACTATCTGTGTGATGCTGGGAAATTTTAAAGTTTTCAACTTAAATGGATAATATGAGGGAGGGATGCTTTCTGCATGCAAATCAGAGGGGATTAGTATCAAAATCAGAGTGTCCTCTATTTGACCAAATTACGAAATTGACGAAAGGTTTCCCTCCTTATCTAAATGAAGGTATGTTCCCACCACCGCCAGATGATGACATTTATGATGGGATAGAAGAGGAAGGTGCTGATGACAGGTAAGAGTAATCATTGAACTGCCTTTTTTTTTCCTTGCAAAATATTACATATACGAAAATTTAGTTTTCATTTTCAGATAGGACAAAAAGTAGAAAATGTTGTTCTTGTTCAGTCCTAAAATTATGTGAAGGTTTAATTGACAGAAAGGGAAAGTCAAGACGGGTAATTGTATCACACTGTAAGTGAAATGGTAGATTGGAAAAAAAATTTCAATTATGGGGAAAAATGAAAAGGGGACAAATTATAAGTGTTGTGGGTGTTTTTACAAATATTTTCCAATCGTTTATCTATCAATCAATAATTTACCTTTACCACCATCTCTGGAGTTTATCAGTAATGTGTCTGGGAAGTCTTTTGCGTAATAACATAATTATATCTGAATGTCAGGGCTCACACTTGTAATTATAGCACCCTAGAGGCTTAGACAGAAGGATCATTTGAACCCAGGAGTTCAAGGCTAGTCTGAGCTGCTTAAAAACCCCAGGCTAACCTGGGCTACAAAGTGAGATCCTGTTTCAAGTAAATTGAGACCATTTGTTATCTATGGTAGTTTTATAGCAGAACTGGTATTGAATAGTTAATCCATTGCTTAAGAATAAATTCTTTTATTTTTGTAATAATGATTTATAAAATCTTTTGAGTTGATAAGTTTTCTTTCCATTTTAAAATAGAATTTAATATAAAATATTTAAGACCTAGTAATTATTATTTTACTTCTATCATAAATAATACCAAGTAGACATTTTAAACTTAATTCTGATTTGACCTAGCTTTATGTTTTAGAAACCTGGGTAAATCTTACTGAATTAGTAAAAAAAATGACCAGCCTGATGACAGAAATATTCACTCACCAGAATCTATACTTAGCAGCACCATATTATTGGCTACGATGACCTACTTCCTGGTCAGCATAGTATAATTATTTAACCTCTGAATGTCCGCACAATGTCTTCATGGTCTGCTGATTATAACATTCTGACCAATGCCTGATGCTCCAAAGATCCACGCCGCAGGGTGAAGAGAAGACTAGCACGTGGTCCTGGGGGATTTTGAAGATGTTAAAGGGAAAAGATGACAGAAAGAAAAGTATTCGAGAGAAACGTAAAGTCTCTGAGTCAGACAATAATGAAGGTTCATCGTAAGAGTCAACTGGCCACCTTCAGTGCACAATAACTACACTAATATTGGTTTAATTGAAGGCTACTAATATTCTATAACGAACAAGCAAGTCCTGATGAACTTACACCACTTTACTGTTATTTTCCATTAATCATCTTACATTCATCTCATAGTATTAATGACATCAGAGGACCCTAGTTATTCTGAAATTATCATGTAATTCTAAGGTACACTTGACTCTCCCTGCAAACTTACATAAAGATATACACACACACACACACACACACACACACACACACGCGCGCGCGCATACTCAAGCACAGTCATTCATGAACATACACACTACTTAGTAGGATTTCTCTCATTTGTAAATCCCATCTAAAACTATTCTGATTGCAGACTACATTTTACATTATACTGACTACTTTTAAAACTCATTCTCTATTAAAAGTTAATTTGTTAAAATATAGAGCATAATTTAGAATTTTTCTCTGAATATAATACTGAAAGTTTTATAACTGTTCTTTTTTTATTGAGAGATTTTCTATTCATTTTACATACCAACCACAGATTCCCCTGTCCTCCCATGCCCCCAGCCCTCCCCCGCAACCCACCCCTCATTCCCACCTTCTCCAAGGCAAGGTCTCCCATGGGGAGTCAGCAGTGATTTATAACTGTTCTTAATCATATACCTATACAGACTTATTCTCAGTTTTTCAAATTTATCTGAATAACGAATGAATAAATTTTCTTTCCCCATCCAGCCCCTGAATATAAATTCCATGTATATGAATTTGAAGGATCTTAATTATGTTCAGAAGAGCCTTTCTGTTTTGCATTTTTAATGTGTTCATCACATTTAACTGAAATCTTTATAAGTTGTTTTCACACCAGAACTCCTAATTTTATCTTTTTTCATAGAACACCAGAATAGCAGTCAGTACATGTACAATTTTGAGAACACATAACAAGAAGTCTTCTCTCGAGCAACATTGCTCAAATATAACCTTTACTTGGGGGCAAAGGAAGAGACCTTTTCTGCCTTGTTTTCACATTACCAAATTCTGATTTGGGGTTATTGCAGCAAATGTCCTCATCTTCTACTTTAACCAATCATTCCTGCACTATACATGAATCCTTCAGAAGTGTGTGTGTGTGTGTGTGTGTGTGTGTGTGTGTGTGTGTGTGTGTAGCTGTCATACTTCAAAAAAATAAAAATAAACATCCTTTTCTGCTACAACTAAACACCACCTAATCCTGGATCCTTCCTACTCCTGTCCATAAGCTCTCACTGTCTAGTCGAAGTGTGCATTCCTTTCTTATTCATCATTTTCCAGTTTGGCGTAGATATGTACATACCAGAGAAATGTGGTCATATGCCAATGGCTGCTGTCGATTTTTTGACTCTGCAATTTCAGTCCTCAATTCAAATAAACAATTTGGGCCAGACCTATGGATAGCATTAAGCTCCAAATACTGAGTTCATTTAACATATTCTGGTGTGATAATACGCCTAAACTTTAGAGCAAATCTGAAATATTGGTCTAGTGACTGCAGGCCACACAAACTGACTATCTTTACTCTGGACTATTTTTGAACAACAAAACTAGTTCAAAACTAGTCTCAATAAATTCCAAATTGATGGCTAGAAGCTAATGGGAAATGGAGGATAAGAAAGGCATGATGGTCAACAAATTAACCCACTTCACACATCCAGAATATTGCCTCTCACACCTCTCTCATGTAAAGGAATTAATTTCAAGGCTCATGTGACTCTGATTTTAACTATATTCTCATTTTTTTTCAGTTTCCCTTCTCCTCCTCAACAATTGGGTATGTAATAAAAACTAACTGTGTATTTTACCAATTATTTATTACACCTGAGGGAATGGGAAACATTGAATGTCATCAAGCATGAAGCATTGCTTTAAGTCCTGAATGCAAATAATAAATATGTTAGATTGCACAAGCAATTTCACTGTGGGTGATTCCAATGACCCAACAATAGAATAACAGAGTCATAAAAATAAAAAAGGCTCATTATCAGATACTTCTCATTGTTATGATAAAACACCATAATATTCCTCCTCAAAGCAGCATGGTCAGGTCTGTCATAGCAGCAGCCCACTCCTTGATACCAACTTCTGTATCAGTTACTTGTCTATGACTATGGCATACCTTGGTGAAGGCAGGGTGGCAGGAATGGGAGCTGAGGGCTCACACCTTGAACCTCAAGCAACAAAGGAGAGAGTTACCTGGTAATGGTGCATGTCTTTTCAAACCTCAAAGCCACCTCCAGGGGCAAACATCACCAAGGCCATACCTACAAAGCCTGCCCAAACAGCACCACCCACTGGGGACCAGTTATTCAAATGCCTAAAACCATAAGGCACACCTCATTCAAACCAGCACAGACAGCTTCCATGTACTAATCTGAAAGTCATTGTGGCATGGAGATAACAGGAAAGTGAGGGACACCGATGTCAGCTGGCCCTGCCTCAATGCAGTCCATGCTTAATATACACAACTCATACATACAAATGTATAAAAGTATGCAAAAGACACACAACCAGACACTTCCAGATATCCTTTCTTTAACTCTTTGAGGAAAAAATTGGAGTAACAGTCAGTGCTTTGTACAATTTCAATCATCTCTTTGAAAACCCTGCTGGGACAGATCTTTTCAAGACGTTTTTTTTTTAAAGTGTCTCTGTATAAAGTAACATGTTGTCTCCAAAAATACTGAAGGGCTTTTAAAGAGTTTACCTACTTAAATTGGTAAATATTCTTTTAAGAGAGCTGGTGGTAGTGGTGCACACCTTTCATCCCAGCATTTGAGAGGCAAAGGCAGGCGATCTCTGAATTCGAGGCCAGCCTAGTCTACAGAGTGAGTTCCAGGACAGCCAGATTTACACAGTAAACCCTGTCTCAAAAAACCAGAGAAAGAGAGAGAGAGAGAGAGAGAGAGAGAGAGAGAGAGAGAGAGAGAGAATGTCAAGCTAAAGATGTGGCTCAGTTGGTAGCACTGAATTTGATCCCGAGCACTACATAATCCAGGAATTGGGGACATTCTCATTCAGTCCACTACACCAGTCATGGCTAGTTTTCTATCAGTATTGTTTCTCATCACTTACATATATTATTTGTAGAAATAAGATTTCCTATGAAGTACACTCATACTATCACTGTAGAGTATAAATTAATACAGAACAAATTATTAAAAGAAGATCATGGATGATAGATGATAGAGATAGATATCATCCACCTGATGGACAAATGGATGGATAGATAGGTAGATAGATAGATAGATAGATAGATAGATAGATAGATAGATAGATAGATAGATAGATAGATAGAAGAGATTGACACAGAGATATACAAATAGGATTAGTGGATTAGCACTCCACATCATGTAAGAATTTCTGTCTGCTTCCCACTGCCAGTGGCCAAGAGAGTTAACTTCTTTGTCCATAGTTTTCCAGTCCCACCATTCATCCATTGGTTACACTTGCAAAATTTTAGAGTCACAGCACTATTCAAGTCTTGTTGGTTTTTTCCCTCCAAATAATGATAGTTGTAATTTTTTTTTTCCGAGCTGAGGACCCAGGGCTTTGTGCTTGCTAGGCAAATGCTCTACCACTGAGCTAAATCCCCAACCGGATAGTTGTAATTATATTCACTGGTTTCCATTGTTTCTTTGTTCACTTATCGATTGTTTAAAGTTGAATACTCACACCCAGGAAGGTAAGAACCACCCCCTTACACACTCCTTCCTTTTAGAAGCATATAATGCCTTTAATAGAAATATTTACTGTCCCTGAGAAATCTCTTACTGTCTATGAAGCAGTCTTAATAACATCATTGAATGTTCATATCAAAATTTAAATTAGCAACATTTCAGTATTTGATATTCTGTCTTTTCTTAGATATGGGAGAAGAAGTTTACGATGATGTGGATGCCTCAGACTTCCCTGCTCCACCTGCAGAGTTGAGGTCATTAAAATGCTTCCATTACAATGCAGTCTTGACAAGGAGATTGCTCAATAACATTGAACTGGAGTGAAACTCCAGCGTGGTATATGTGTACTGTGCGCAGTCGTGTGGTCTCTGCTCCCCCTTGTTAAAGCTGTGCTTGTTTGTGATCAAGGCTCTCACCTCGCAGTCTGGTTTGTTAGCAAGTCATCCTAACCCTCCCTCCTCTCCCCTTCCCCATCCTTTCTCCTGACCCCAGACGCTGGTTCTGCCCCTCGTTCCCTGACTAATCACTTTTGGTTGCTAGTGACTCACTGCTGTCTGTATTCACTCATCTGCTGGGAATGTATACTTGAGATTCTGTTCACAAGTAATCTCAATGATTCATCTTCTCTTATTTTTACCCTTTTCCCCAACTTTTTCCCCCCTTGAATATAATTCCTTTCAATCATAGCCCTCATCTTTCTTCTTCCCTGACCTCCACCAATGGTTTCCTTTGTGAAAAAAAAAAAACAAAAACAAAACAGAATTTGTTGCTTAAAAGGGCTTTCTTGTATGCCCTTTTTTTGTTCACAAACTCATTAGAGCTGGGCAGTGGTGGCGCATGCCTTTAATCCCAGCACTCGGATCTCTGTGAGTTCAAGGGCAGCCTGGTCTATAGAGCAAGATCCAGAACAGGCACCAAACCAAAACACACACACACACACACACACACACACACACACACACACACACACACACACAAACTCATTAGAATCTTCTCAAAAGTTTTACACAATTTCTTTTTTAAGTTAATAGTAAACAACAACTTCAGTTTATCTGAGGTTTGCATTTAATTTTAAGGTGAAAAGTATATGAAAATAGTTAAGATTAGTGAGCATAAAAGGAATGCCCTTTGAAAAGTCTTCTGAGGTAGAATATAACGTACTAAAATACTTGCTCATTTTTTCCTATCTATGCAAGATGACCTGCATACAAAAGCTAGAAAACTCCAGCAATACACTCAAGAGAGAGATGAATGAAAAACAAGAAATGGTATACTTGTTTAGTTAGAGGACAAAACTGGCATTAATGCCTCGAGTCATGCCTGCTGAGTTGTACTTACCAATGCATGAGAGAACTTCAAGTATTTAGTCTTACCATACTAAGCCAATTTTACTGAACTATGAACAGTATCAAGATCAAAGAGGCTGAAGGCAAAACATGCCGATGGATCAAGTTCTACAGGCCAAACAAGCGAGAAAGACAGATGAATGAAGGAGGCTTGCCTCCCTTTCCCGCAGTCTGTGAAAGGAAAATCTACCCTTAGCAAATTATTTATTCTAATATTTCTCACCAGGACACTGTGCCCATCTCTGATGGATTTTAATACATTTTTTTTTTCTGTTTGATGTTACTCTAGAAAGATCCCCTACATTCCATTAGCTAGCTCTCTGGGAACCCAGAATCACATCCTGGGCTTTTTCTTGGAGCAAAACAAACCCCAGCTGATTGAACTTGATCAGAGATCTTTTTTTTTTTTTTCCGTACCCATTGCTTATTTTCAGAAATTAAAACAATTCTATATTTTTAAACACAGTGTTCTATTTTGGAACAAGTTATTTTCAAAAATAGCTTGTGGGGGGAGCATTTTTAGCATTCATTCATGCTCTGATCATGCCAGAGAGCTAATCTGGGCCAGGCATTTCACCAATGCCCAGAGCATGAAAGGCAGGAGGTCCTAGGGACAGATGTAAGACCTTACGTGGGTAATGGTCCTCATTGTTTTCATAGTGAACAAGATAAATGCTAAGTGCTAAAAACAAAAAAAAAATTAGAACCAAACATTTTAAAGAAGTCACATTTTTTTCTAGATAATCAAAATGAAAATATTAGTGTCAATTTTTCACTATTCACAAATATTCTAATACCAAAAAAAAAAAAAAAAAAAACCTTCATACTTCTTCCCAATCTGGACTGAACTTTCATTTTCCAATGAGCAATTTAGTGAAATGGCCAAGATAAAGACTGACTATTGACTATTAGCTATTATCTTTAAGATGCTCCCACATGATATTGAAAACTAATTTTATGTAAAAGCTTTTCATTAACCAATATTCCTATCTCCTGTGCTGTCTTTATTCATTTATGTATTATTTCTCTGCTGGAAATCAAGTCTAAGGTGTGGGATGTGAGTGCTCCACCAATGAACTCCAGATTTTCCATCATAGCTCTGTTTTAATTAGATGTGAAAATATTAAGATAGATAAATTTCACAATCCATAAAACTCAGTTCTTTAAAAAAGCATTTTTGAGCCTTTTTAATAATATTATCTCTGCCATTCAATTTTCTAGAAAGAACTAGAAAATGTACAGGGTTCAAGTATAGTTTTAACCACATGAAACCCTGGTATGCAACCATATTTCATCTTGTTCAGTTTTATTATTTATTCAATATGACCTTTCACTTACAGTTTAAATCATGTGTATCATTTAATCATGAACCCCTTTATATGTCATAAGCCCATAATTGATTATAATGATCAGTACTAAATTAAAAACAACATTGAACAAAAATGTATTATTACATGCGAGGCATGGTAACACATGTCTTTAATCCCAGCACTTGGAAGGCAGAGGCAGAGTTCCAGTGTATATTGTAAGACCCTGTCACAAAATAACAAACCATTGAAATTTTTAACGTTAAGAATTAAGTCTCAAGCTGGGGGTGGGGGTGGCACACGCCTTTAATCCCAGTACTTGGAAGGCAGAGGCAGGTGGATCTCTGTGAGTTTGAGGCCAGCCTAGTAGACAGAGGAAGGTCCAGGACAGCCAAGGCTACACAGAGAAACTCAGTCTCAAAAAAAAAAAAAAAAAAAAAAAAAAAAAAAAAAAAAGCAAGCAAACAAACAAAAACAAAGAATTAAGTTGTCTCTGTTATGATCTATTCTTTTCTGTTTCTCAAAGTGTTGGTTTATATGTGTTCTGTTACCCTAGTCAAGGAATTAATGTTGGAAAGGCAAAAACAGAAGAAAAAGACCCCAAGAAGCTAAAAAAACAGGAAAAAGAAGAAAAAGATCTTAGGAAAAAATTTAAGGTATGTAATATTTTATACCATTCAGAGTTCAAAGTACTGATGAAAAAATTCCAAAAATTTCAAAATGACAAAATACATACTTTTCAAGTATGGTTAACAATATTGGCATTATCTGTCATAACTTTTCTTTGTTACAAATATGTTGTAAATTTAAATTCATTCCTACAATAAATTAAGCAAGCAATCATATATGCTAATATCCTCCATGCTATTATAACCATTTAAATTTAGATGCCCTTTGAACTTTGATAAAGTGATCATCTTTAAATATTTGTTATGTGAAGTTGGTGAGGTTATGATTGTCTTAGTTATTGTCTCATGGCGATGATAAAATCCCCAGATAAAAACATCCTGAAGGACAAGGGGTTTCTTTTGGCTCACAGTTCTAGGCTACAGTCCACCGTGGAGAAGTCACAGAGGCAGGAACTTAATAGGGCTGGTCTCATTACATCTGCAGTCAGGAGGCAGAGACACACAAATGCATGCATACTAGTGCTTACCTTGATTTCTCCATTTGATACAGTCCAGGGTCCCCTGTCCAGGGAAAAGTCCCACTCAGAATTAACATAGTTCTTCCTATATGAATTTACATAATCAAGATAACCCCCCATAGGCATGTCCATAACTAAAACCTTCTTAATAAATTTGTCAATAAATGAATTACTGTAATAATACATATCAGTAATTTCAATGTTTATTTTTTTTTCAGTATGATGGTGAAATTCGAGTTCTCTATTCAACGAAAGTTGCTTCCTCCATAACTTCTAAAAAGTGGGGAGCTAGAGATCTGCAGATAAAACCTGGAGAGTCACTTGAAGTTATTCAAAGCACAGACGACACCAAAGTTCTCTGTAGGAACGAAGAAGGCAAATGTAAGTCCCTGCTAAAGCCACACTGTGCATCCAACAACCATGGGTTACAGAGATCACCCACCTCTACTAACTCAGTTTGTTCGGTGGTTCGTGGGTTGTAGGACATGTTAAGAAACTGGAGATTCTGGTATGCTGACATCAATAAATTCTATTTTAATGTCTTTTGAGGCTTTTGAGATTGTAATATGATTACATCATTTCCCTCCCTATCTTTCCCATCTCCAGCCTCTCCTTAGTAACCCCGTTGCTCTCATTCAAATTCATGGCCTCTTTTTCTTTAACTCTGCGTGTGTGTGTGTGTGTGTGTGTGTGTGTGTGTGTGTGTGTGTGTGTGTGTGTGTGTGAATATAACCTTCTCAGTCTGTATAATGTTATGTATATGTTTTCAGGGCTGACCATTTGGTATTGGATAACTAGTTGGTGTGCTCTTCCCCGGGGAAGATTATTTCTCTCGGTGTTCCTTCAACATCTTTTAAACATGAGAGTGGAGGTTGTGAGTGCTACTCAATGGCAGAATACAGGCTTGAAATGACGGTGGAAACATCGCTTAAACTTCGGGTTCATCACAATCAAGAATTTCACACAGATTTTCTTTCTCACTAAGCCATTTGTGATGTCTAAGCCACTGATAACTGCTTCAGTTCTAGGTACTCTGAAAGTTTGATCTCAAACAGAATGACTGGGTAAATATCTCTTACTCCCTGGTAGGGTGTTTTGTTCATGTAAAGGCTTTGTTTAGGTGGTACTTTGCTTTAGTTTGACTTCCTCATTTCAGAGGTAACCACAGTGTGGGACTAGAGAGATGGCTCAGCAGTTAGGAGTTCTTACTGCTCTTCTAGAGGACCCAAGGTTAGCTCCCAGCACCCACGTCAGGCAGCTCACAACCAGCTGTAACCCCCAGCTCCAGGGGATCCAACATCCTCTTCTGGCCTCCACAGGTTAGAGAAGGCAGGCAGGAAAGCTTTGTTGTCCAATGGTCAACACCTAAATAACAGAGCTCCAATGCTGCTGTGACATCGACCCGTTACCATGCCACCAAATAGGAAGCAAATTGGGTCTGTACTCAGCAGATTAAACAAAAGGTTAAAAGCTGATCCGAGGAAGGTGTGAAGGTACTCAGAGAGTTCTAGAAGCTGGAGAAAAGCCCTCCATAAATAGAACAAAATGGTTAAATATTGACAGAAACTTGAGCCAATGGGTAGTCAGGTAGTTGGAGAGCGAGGGGCACTAAGAGTATTTGAGAGTAACTTTCAGATTAAGTATTATCTCAGAATGACTGAATTGGTGTGCCTATTTCATTTCACTTTTTGCCTCCTGCTTTTCATACTTTTTATGAAATCTCTTTCTTGGTTGGGATCCTTGATTGTTCTTAATTTTCTAATTCCTGATCTATTCTCCATACACTCACTAGGACTTGGAACGACTGCCGTAAAATGTATCCCTCCCGCAAATGGCCTTGCAAATGGCATCCGTCTTTCCCATATTCTCAGCCCGTCCACTCCTATGTTAAACAAATATTTTCAAGACCACACACCGTCTTTAGGATAGCATATCATAAATGCCCTTCGTGGTTCAGCCTCATGGGCAACAACTGCAGTTGGCTGTCTAGACTGGACATCCAAAAGTGAAGTGCATGCTCGTCATCCCCTGAATAAATCATGCCGGTTCTTCCCACTGTGCTATTCTATTTGACGTGGAATGCACAATTGTCCATCAAAAACAACTCAGTGATCACCTTCGATTGGAAGCATCCTCACTCCCTGCTCCCAGCTACCCCAGTCTGATGAATGTCTCCCCAACTCCACTGCTTTGACTTCTGCATGATTTGTTTCAGTAATTTGCTGCTCTGCTTAGTATCTGAACTTACGCAGAACTTCAACGAAGTGTTCTTGAGGTTGGATGTCAGCACTGGTATAGTGTCTCACAGCTTGAGTGTGGACTTGATTAGCTTCAAAGGAGTGCTCTGGATTTCTAGTCCAATAACCAGATAAAAGTTGGACATAAACACTCTCAAAAACATCTGCTGAATAGTTTAGCTGGTTAGCAGACAGCACTCTGGCTTGGCCTGATGAGCATTGTTAGCTTCTGAATCATTAAGTACTCTAAATCTGTCCCTTCCTTATTTTTACATCTTCTCATGACCAGCCATGGCATTTTACAGTTCAGTGACTGTTGCAGTGACTATTTTTTTCCTCGCTCTCTGTTCTTCTTCAACCTGTCACCGAAAAGAACGTGACCTGGGGTTACACTGAGCAATCGAGTGGTTAAAGGATAAAGGACAATCCCTTTGTCACTGGAGCAAAAGCCTCTGACGCAGACATTATTACATTCAATAGGGTCTCACCCACTGACACTCTGCAAGTGTGAACTGTGTAGGCAGTTGGTATCTTAAATATATAGTTCTGGCACATTCTCAAATGTTTAAAATGGCTAGCTAATATTTGCACACATTCCACAATCTGATGTTCAAGAGCTGAGAGTTTTCCCACCTCCTGTCACTGGAGAAAAACTTTCTAAAAAAAAAAAATGAGGCATGAAAAAGGAGTTATTTGGGTTATAATGTTCTGTTTCTTTTAGGCATCAGAAAAAAAGAGATTTCAAATGGCTGGACATTGTCACAAAACTAGTTGATCATTTCTTTAAGGTTTTTTTTTTTTTTTAACAATATATGCTCACTGGAAAAAATTTTATTCAGAAACTTAAAAAGTCAATCTGAACCAGCTGTGGTAGCACACATCTAAAATCCCAGTACTTGGGAAACTGACTAAGGAACAGCATTTGAAATCAGGAGTTCAAGGACAGCCTGGGCAATGTAGTGAAAACTCACCTCAAAAAATTAAATGTAAAAATTAAATGAATGAATGAATGAATGAGTAATGAATGAGTGAATGAGTGAGTGAATAAATAAGCAAATATACAAATGAAATGTTTAAAGTCGTTCTAGTAGAAAGTCTCAGGAATAATACAAAGAAACAGAAGAAAAGGAGATAGATTAGTTCTTGTGAAAGCCAAAATAATAAATTACATTCAGTATTGTACACCATTTATTATGTTTCCCTTCAAGTTTGACATTGATTCACTTGCCTGAGCAAGTCCACACAAGATGATTTTATGTTTCTAGCTGCAGTAACTTTATTTTCTGCAAATACAACAAACGAACTAATAAATAATAGAGCGTCACTTCAATTAAGGAAAAAAATTGAAACTACAAAATCAAGTTAATTTCTGTTTTTCCAAGACTACTGTCTACTTCCTTGGAAACTCCGTATTTCTAATGTCTTCTCACAGGTGCATTGTTAGTCCTGACACACATCTACACCACAGCAAGCAAACAATTTAGGAGGAAACTGACTGGCACAAATGGGGGATGGGCGTTGCATTCCTAACTATTCTACCTCACCACATATTTCAAGACATTTGTTCCAGCCACTGTGTTCTGCTCTGTGAGCAGGAGGCTTCCAAATAACAACTTTATGTGACATGTGAGAATCCTGGGCATATCAGCTCTCAGACTATTGTAAGGCTAAACATAGCAGCCGTTCTGCACCATAGCCATGATTTTGCTTTGTTTTGTGGGTTTTTTCATATTTTCTATTAATATCTCATATTGGTAAGTGAACACGAACCATGTGAACAACGAGAACATTTTCTTCCTGCATAAAAAAAAATAATTTCTAGGAACTATACTGCCAAGATTACATAACAATCCATGGTAAGTCACTTGTTTTGACACTACCACAAACCGTCCTTGAATAGAATAAAGTTTTAGCACTTGAAAGCGCTGCACAGCAAAGCCTATGCTACATTAAAAGTCAGTAATCCCGTAAAAACACTATATAAGTGATTTTATAGTTAGTGAGCCCTAAGTTATCACATGATCATGGAACTAAAATAGAATGGGACAGCCGCATCCCACATGTGACCACTGACATTTTCTTAAATATTCGGTCACTGATATCTCCCTCCCTCCCTTCACATACGCAGAGAGACAGAGAGAGAGGGAGAGAAAAGAACAGAACTGAACAATAGTATCTGCGAAGGAGTCATCAACAGAAGAGAAAGATGCTATTTAGAACTCTTGAGCAAGGAAGATGTAGGAGAGAATATACCAAGGGTTTGAGAGGGAAAGAGAATATAGCTTTTCTAATTAACTCATAAAGTGGAGATAATTAAGCTGTCTATTATGAATTATTAACTTTGACTATGTAAAGGACTGTTAGTAGCGGTTTGACCAGGTCTGTGAATTTTTTTATCATAATTGATAAAAATTAACTTAAAAGTAATTTCATTGAAACGTAAATTACCTCAAGGCATCAGCAAATAATAATCTTAATTTTCAAAAAGGTGGTTAAATAATCTTTAATTTTCCTGTCATAACTTTATTTCTCATAATCTTCCAGGGTTTTTTTTAATGGAAGCACTTAATATTAGAATAAGTCTAGTCTTTATCAACAGTTTATAATTTTGCATGTGTACTGCTAAGGCCTGCCAACCTGAGTTCAATCCCTGCAACTCACATGGCAAGAGGAGAGAACAGATTTCTTCCAGTCTTCTTCTGACTTCAAAATAATCATATTAAACAACATAACCCCAACTCAGAAAGACAAATGCCACGTTTTCCCTCCTATGTGGAGCCTGTATCTAAATGTGTCTGCAGGAAGGGGGCCTGGGAAGATGAGCATGAGACAGGGAGGGGACCTTAGAAGTAGGAAAGGGATGATGGAATCCATGTGACTCAAAAAGAGAAAGGAGACTGTTTGGAAGGAGGGAGGGAACCTTCAGGAGAAGGACAGGAGACACAGGGAAGGCAGCCAGAGATAGGAATAAATTAGACAAAAGTGTAAGGACTTCTGTATGAAAATACCATAGTGAAGTTACCTTTTTTACTGTCTTTTAAAAAAATTCATAAAAAGAAAAAAATAGAACAGGAAAGGGATTGATGAGAGATGCTAAGAGGAGGGGGAAATAAGTGGGTAATGAGGGTATAAATATGATCAAATTACTCCATTAGCATGTTCTAAATAGATATAGTTATTCAATATATTATCTTTTTAAAGAGTTTTTAAATTATTATTACTGTGTCTGTGTGGATGTGTCATGTGTGGGTGCCTGCAGAGGCCAGAATAGGGCATGAAGTCCCTGGAACTAGATTTACAGGCAGTGATGAGTTATTGAATGTGAATCTGGGCATCAACTGAGTATTGTGGATAAGAAGGGGCCCTTAACCACTAAGCCATCTCTCCAGTCCCTCAGTATATTACCTTATAATAATTATTCACTTGTGGGTCAACTTGTGATACTAAACATTAAATGTTTTTCAAAGCTGTATCTGTAACTAAAATGCATTTCTTTTTTTTCTTTATAGATGGTTATGTCCTTCGGAGTTACCTGGCAGACAAGTAAGGCCATTTCCTTCTATGACTGTATTTATTAAAAGAATCTTATTTCCTTAAGGAAAAAGTACTAATGCAATTTCCAGAACGCAATAGACTGAACTGCCATAATAAATTGAAAACAATGTATTACATTTGTATCAATATAGTAGTACCAATAACAAAGCTGAATATGCTAGTCTGAATTAGTAAGGAAGTCTGACTCACTCATAGTGAATAGTCTTATATAACTCTCTGAGCTGTCTGTTCAGCAAACACTGAAGACACACAGGGCAAAGCCACTACCCCTTTCACTAATTGTTTGCATTTTGTTTATTAATTATTACAGCATTAGAACTGAACTAATTCGAGCCAAATGGTGTCTGTGGCAGATACTAATACTACCAGTTAATAGCTCAACGTTTAGCCCCTAACTGAAGGTTTTTCTATACTCACACCAAGCATAGTGCTCTATTATGTTGCTGTATTGAAAGTGTGCCCCTCAAAAGATAGCGATCAATGACTCTTGTATTCTTATGAATAAGACCTTTTCACAGTCTGTCACAGCCTGGTACTTTTAAGCCTTTGGACTCCTCCAAAACACTCTAAGATTCTACACCAAGAAACGCCGAGCAGAAAATTAGCCCCACTATCGGGTTGACCAATGTAAATATTTGTAAAACTGACATAATGAAGGAATGGAGGATTCACAAGCCATTTTCCATAAGCAACAGGCCACACGTGTGACTAGGACAATGCATGTTAGAGAGTTCTGTCAGCAAACCAATAGACAGCAGACAGGAAAACGACCCTAACACCTTTGTTTTCTTCGGAGTATGTATTACAGTGGTGGGCAACGGGACTTCTGACAGGCTCTGTTCTAAGAAAGATGCACATTTTATGGAAAGAATGTGCTGCAGGATGGTTAAAAGAAAATGGAGAAAGGACACTAAGCGACTATTGGTTCACTACCTATTAAAATGCATATATCAATAAACATTTATGGAATAAACAGCAGGGAAGTCTGTCCTCTTTGCATTCACATCAGATTTCCATTAGGCAAATGCTTCCTCCACCTCAGAGAAAGGATCCAAACAGAAGACATAGGGAGCTCACAGCATCTGTTCACAGTTGGCAGGAACAGGGCCCTGCTGCTGCCGCCGCTGTGATGAAGCCCAGAGATAGGGCAGGAACCAAGAGCATGTCTGCCCTACGTGACACAGCTACCTCACAGCTCTGGAGCTTGGAACTGCACCCTACATTTCAAGATTATGTTTATATTTATAATATATTATTATTCTATCATTCATAAATCACTCATCAGACTATGCACTTTTACAATCAAAGCTTACATCTGACTTGTATGTGTGTCTCCCAGCACATGAGAGCAACTCAGTGTTTGTTAATAGAATACTTCATAAAGCTTCAGGGCTAAGCAAAACCTGAAAACAATAAGTAATATAAAAAATTCAATGACTGTACATTCCATAATTAGTATTTAAATACTTTAAACTTGATGTGTGTGCATTGTAACTAGAAACATGTGAAAACAGTATTGCCAATTTTCATGCCAAATATATTTCATTCACTTAAAATTTTAAACATTGAAAACTCAAATAAAGGTAGGAATCTAGCACTAATAACTGTTAAAATTCATTGCACCTTTGGATTAAGGCCCCTGGAGGAGGGTGGTGCCTTGGCAGTTCAATTTGTTTAGCTCTGTACCCAGTTCTTAGGGAGTTCAGATGGTCTATGCCCATGGCAATGTTCAAAGTAGGGCATGATCTGTGCCCTCAAGGCATGTCTATTATTCTGTCTGTAGAATGAACTAGGAGTCGATAAAGCCAGGGAAAGAAGATGTGGAGGTGAATGTAAAATCTCTGTCGACTTGCACATGCACATGCATAGCCTCACTTTTCACCTCTCAATGTTTCTGGTAGATGGCAATCATATTAATGCTAGCTTCCTCCATGCATTAATGTTAGGAAGATATTCTCTATAAAATAAAAACTGTTTTTTTTGTGTTTACAGTGATGGAGAAATCTATGATGACATTGCTGATGGTAAGTGTCATGCAGCTCCCACCACAGTAACAGAGAAAACAGCTTGCTGGCTTAATTAGAGCCATCACATATGATCAGAACTGGAGTTTCTTAAAAATGTGAGGAAAAGTAATGATCTGATGTCATGGCAGGGAGTCATCTTCACAAAAGGCTAGGAAATTAAGTGAAAAGAAAAGCATGTTTATCTCCAGATTGAGAAATATAAGACAGCCATGGTGCAAGCCAAGACCTGTAATTCCAGCACTTGGGGACTAGAGGCAGGAAGATCAGAAGTTCAAGGCCAGCCCTGGCTACACAATGAAAGTTGGGGGCAAGCCTAGGCTACGTGAGACCCTGTGTCAAAAAACAACTGAACAGGGAAGAGACAGAAGAAGTGGGAGGAGCAGAGGGAAGAGAAAACAGTTTGGTAAACTGTGTATTGTAACATGCGTTAAGAGTCATTGCTTTCACTGCAGGGAAATGCATTCTTAGTAATATATAATAACCTGTTTTAAAACTAGCAGTTTCCATACCACAGCAACCATAATACCCAAGAAGGTAACAGCAGATTGTTTTTCTGCAGCCTATAAAATATGAAATTAACAAATCCTAAGTGGACAAATGTAAAGCTGGCAAATGCTAAAATATGAGACTAACAAATCTTTGATCAATAAACAGGTACATTATTTCGTAACTAATAACACTAGTAAAATCATCAGGTATTTCTAAGTGAGGATTTAAAACATTCATCTCAACAAAATGTTCACAGCTGTCATCATGTTACCCTTTGGTCTGTGTGTGTATGGACGAGTATGTGTACACGCACGCACGCGTGTGTGTGTGTGTGTGTGTGTGTGTGTGTGTGTGTGTGTGTGATTTGTTTTGTTTTGTTTTGTTTTGTTTTGTTTGAGACAAGGTCTCACAACTTGGTGTCTGCTCGCCTGGAACTTGCTATCTAGACCAGGCTGGCTTTGAACTCACAGAGATCCACCTGCCTCTGCTTCTTGACTGCTGGGATAAAGGTGTTTGTCACCACATCTGGCACCATCCAGGTTTTTGTTGTTCATTTTTTTTTTCTTACATCAGTTCTGGGATCAAACCTATTTCCCTGGCTTGCAAGCAAATGCTTTACCGATAGAGTCATCCCCCAGCCCCCACCCTCTAGTCTTTAGCTTATGACACATGTTAATGCTTAACTAGTCTCATTTCCAACAAGTGCTATGATGCCAGAATAGCTGATCTTCAGTCTCATGTGTTGAAGACTAAATCTGTCTAGGAATGTTGTTGAAATTGGGCTGTCAATGAAGTTGTCTTAGTTATTGTTGTGATGAAACACCATGACCAAAAGCAAGTCAGGGAAGAAAGGGTTTATTAGGCTTACACTTCCACATAATAGTCCATGATTAAAGGAACATGGGACAGGAACTCAAACAGGACAGGAACCTGGAGGCAGGAACTGATGCAGAGGCCATGGAGGGGCGCTGTTTACTGGTTTGGAGCCAATGGTTTCTTATCCCATCTTCTTATAAAACCCAGGACCACCAGCCCAGGGATCCACCACCCACAACAGGCTAGGCCCTCTCCCTTCAATCACTAATTAAGAAAATGTTCTACAGTCTTGCCTACAATCTTATGGAGGTTTATCAACTGAGGCCTCCTCCTCTGTGATGACTCGAGCTTGTGTCAAGTTGACGTAAAACTAGCCAGCACAGAAGATTAAATATATCACATTTTACTTATCTAGTTTTGTTTGTCTTCTTAATGTAAAATAAGTAAGTTTTTTTATTTAAATCTTAATTCTGGAGAGATTGAATTACCCAGATTTCTAACTTGAAACAGGTAAGATGTGCTGTATATAATCTGTATTTACATTCTTAAGGCCAGATGTGGTGGTGCAGAGCCAGCACTTGGGGTATGGAAGGAGGAGGCTCAGGAGTTGGAGGTCCTGTTCCATGATCTGTTGAGTCTGAGAGCAGTCTGGCCTTCAAGAAGACTTGTTTCCAAAGCCTCCGTAGGGAGTTAGAAGATTGGCTCTGTAGGTGAAGCTTGTATTGCAGTCATGAGGACCGGGGTCTGACAGCTCGAATGCACAGGAAAATGAAAGGCACGGTGGCAAGTGTTTGTAATCCCAGGCCTGGGGAGGTCGAGACAGGAAGATCCTTGGTGAGAACGGAACCAACGAGTGACTGTGTCTCCGAGAAAGTACATGGTTCCTAGGGATGTTACCAGAGGTTGTCCTCCAGCCTCCACACACATGTGCATATGTATCTACACACACATGTACACACACACACACACACACAAACACACACACACACACACACATGCGAATATATAAAAATTAATGAGTGAATTAATTAAAGCTGTATTTTCTTTTCTTTCAGGTTGCATCTATGACAATGACTAGCATTCGGCTCTGTTCTCTCTGCTGTGTCTGTTAGTGGCCAACATGAATTTTAATCGGACTGTTCTTGGGTGTCGTAGAAAAAAAAATGAATGTGCAAAATGAAATTTCAATCTCTTTATAAAATTTTGAAACCTTAAATGAACTCTGTTTAATATGTCAAAAGATTGGTAGTGAGATATAAGAACTTATCTCCTTTTCTACTTTCTTGTCTTCTTTTTTCTTTTGAGTTCTTACTTTGCAGTTCAAGCCATCTTTCCTGCCTCAGCCTGTGCTGTGATAACAGACATGAGCCGGGACATCTGGCTTAAGGATCCCATCTTACCTCAGTTATGCTCATGAAGACACTTTTTTAGACCATCAATAGGGACTCTCCTCCTACCATACCCCTTTTTAAAGAAATAAAGAAAAAACAAAGGCATCCCAGAGGAAGAAGAAAAAAGAATATAAAGAAGGAATTTTATTTTTAATTCCACAAGAGAACTCGTGCTGCCCCTTACAACACCTGTTCAAATTACCTACCCGGAAAAGGCGGAGCTTGAGCCTCTAGTTTCTGAAAGACAGTGTAACAGCAGACCATTTGTATCAAATTGTTCCCTCTTTGGTCACTGAAATCATATGTTAACTCTTCAATAAGCATGCTTTATGCACATCTAAGATTAGCCTCTACGAGGGCCTAAAGTCTTACTTTGTGAATCCATACACACATGGTTGCAATCTGTACTCGGTTTAGACACCATTGTTATCTGGAGAAATGGAGGGGGGACTACATGACCCTTGTGAACACTGTGAGAAAGAACTTTGAAACTCGCTCGACTTTTACAGTAACTCCTTACTGTGAAGTCTCTTTGAAAGGGTTTTGTGTTTCGCTGTCAATTGCTTCTGCAGAACCCAGTGATGTTTATAACCACTTTACTAGGAAGTTGTTCAGCTGAAGGAACACAAAGCAGTAAGTCCCACTGGTTGGCCTGGGGTGCTCCTCATTGAGATGTACTCCTCACCACCTTCTCTAGCCTGTAAGGCACTGGCTTTTGAATGCTAAGAACACTAAGCACCATGAACCAAAACACAATGCCTCAACATCCAAGAAGATAACAGATTGGAGAATGTTATTTTGAAATTAGTAAATCCTAATGCTGGTTCTATTATTGACCATGATGCAACCCTGGCAATATTCATTACCCTCCCAGTGTTCTTATAGGATAAGATTCAACTAAGTTTATCCCAACATTTTCCACTACCAATTATTTCAAGCTTTTATGGTTCCCTTATCTCAGATGCACACTTCAGAAGGCTTTTTTCCTTTTCTATTTTAAATAATCGATTAAATAATGATTAATACACTATATATGTAAATTGTAAAGATCCATTGGAGTTTCTGAAGAGTGACACCCCCCCCCATTGAATTTTTTAAAAGTCAAAAATTGTATGGGATAGAGAGATAACTCGGTTGGTAAAGTGCTTGTGTGGCAAGCATAAAGATTGAATTTGATCAACAGGCCCCAGATGACAACCATGTGTAGTGACCAGTACTTGTAATTCCAGTGCAGGGAGGCAGAGACAGGAGGACCCCTGGGGCTCACTAGTAAGCCTGTCTGTCCTAATTGGTGAGGTCCACACCAGTGAGAGACTCTAGTCCCAGGAGATGGACATCACCTGAGGACCAACAGCCAAGGTTGTCCTCTGGACTCCACATGTATATGCCCTCACACACATGGAAACGTGTACACACAGATGGAAAAATGGGTAAAGGAGGTCAAAGCCTTCAAATGGTTAGAACCGGGGTTTCTATTAAGTGTTTTGAAGTTTAAAAAGTGTCTACAGCTCAATTTACAGGATAGAGGGCTCTGAGTCTCCTGGGTTGGAAATTATTCATCTCAGATAGCCTTTGATTAGGAAGAACTTTGGTGGTATTAGTCAGCATGTGTCCTTGTGGTGAACCTCTTTTGTCACTAGATACAAATTACATGGCTCAAAGGTGGTTGTATGTTAACTTTGGAATCAAATATAGATTAGATGCTGACTGTATTTTCAGTAAGTTTTCATGATTAAGAATAGCATAAATTCAATGCAAATGTTAGATTTTTAAAAAAAAAAATCCCAAATTAGATCAAGAGAATATTTCAGAATATTTTATATTCAAAGAAATGGACAGACACCTATGAGAAATTTACGTAATAATTATTTAATATATATTTGAAGTGTTAATTTTAATATACTAAATGTGATTTTGTTGTAGATTGTGTGTAGAATTTTGTCATGTGAGAAGAGCTGCCAATAAAATATCTTTTTAGCAAGTGACCCTGCTCCCCCACTTCATATATACATCAAGACCATCGGCTTTCCTCTCCGTTAACGTGATTCTGTCTACAAAAGAGTCTTCTACTTACACAAGAGCCCTATCTGCAACCCCCCCCCCCCCCCCCCCGTCTCATTCAGCCTCCTATTCATAGCCCAGCTCTCCCCGCTGCCTCTTGATACATTGCTTCCTATTTTGTCTTAGAAATAGATAACTAACTCCAGTTCTCTCCAACTCCCTGCAACCTGAACATAACCCATGCTCAAAATGCTTAGAGGATAAGACATCACAACCTGAATTCAAAGCCGTGATCAAGGGTCCCATTTCCTCCTAACTTCTCTCCAAGCTTCTTCCGATATAATCCATTCATGCTCTTTTTTCTCCTCACTCTACCTCTTCTTCTCTCCCTCTGTCTCCTCCCCCTCCTTCTTTCCCTCTCACTCCTTCTCTGCCACATCTCTCACCTCTCCCTCCCTTCTTTCCCCCTTCCTTCCTATCTTTAACTTCTGCTGTGAATAGCTTTCTGTGTATATTTAAAACATACTAAAATATGTCTTAGCGGTAAGAAAACCTGACATTTGAACTTGAACCCAGACACTTCACCCACAACCCATTTATTTCACCATTCCCTTTCTCATTCCACTGTCTTAAAATGGTGGCATGCATGCACCAGCTGTCACAACATGCCTCCAATTCCTCCATTTGTTCAGAATTTGATGACCCGAAGACTGCCACTACGGTGCTCAGGAAAGCATTGCCAGGTTTGTGTGGAGATCAGGATCCCTTCAGGTAACCAGCGACTGGGGATACCAGGGCAGAAGGTGGCATAGAGACTCTTTTCACAGAAAATCCAGTTGGGGCCTCCCTAGTGGTCTTGCTAAGCCCTCCTCAGAGTTCCAACCATCTACCTCCTGCCTTTACCAGGGCAGGTACACACTGATGTCACCCAGCTCCCCATGCCTTCACTGGGACAGGTATGTGCTGCTGTCACCCAGCTCCTCCACCTCTTCTGGCTGGCTCTCTTGCACGCACCTGTTCCTTGCTGTCCACCAAAAGAAAAAAAATGCAATTTCCACCTCATCTTGATGTCAGCTTTCCAGGGAAGCCAGATTGAGCACAGTACAGCTTGAAAGATATTAAAACCTGTTATCTGTCTGGGCAGTGGTGGTGCTCGCCTTTAGTCCCAGCACGCGGGAGGCATAGGCAGGCAGATCTCTGAGTTCAAGGCCAGTATGGTCTACAAAGTGAGTTCCAGGGCAGCCAGGGCTACACAGAGAGAACCTGTCTTGAAAAACCAAAACCTGTATCTGAACACTGGGATAAACTGAATCCAAATTTGGGAAGTAATTTAGGGAAGCATTTTAAATAACCCTAAATAGGAGTTTGAGGCTCCTTTTGAGCCTTCCCCACCCTGTTCATCCTTTCTCGTGTTCTCAAGATACACTCAGTCTCCAGATGGCTCCAACCTGGCTTCTGTTACCATCACTTTAAAGCTGTTTTATGTGATGTCTCCAAAAGAGCCTTGTCATCGTTCATCTTCATTTTCAACTTGACAGGGTTTAGAATCACCGAGGATAGGAGACACACCTCTGGGTGTTTCTACAAGGGGGGTTTCAGAAAAGTTTAATTGAGGAGACAAAACACACCCTGAATGTGGACAACACTCTCCCTGAGACATCAGTCTAAATAAAAAGAAGAAAGGAAGCTGGGCTTCATCTCTCTCTGCTCCCCGCCGACAGACACATTAGACTAGATACTTCACCCTCCTGCTGCCTTGTCTTTCTTACATGATGGATGCTAACTCTCTTAGTGTTCTACTGCTGTGAAGAGACACCATGACCACAGCACTTC